ATAGTTCTAGAAACAAGAGAGCGTGAGAATTGTCACGTGATCTCGATGACGCAACAATACAAACAAGTATTAAACATATGATGTAAACAAAGAAATACGATGATAACTGAATTCTGTTTGATAAAATTCATGTACAAAAAATTCACATACCCATTATGAACATGATATACTTCTATTTTTTTGTAGTATTGATTGTTTTTTGTGCGTATTTATCTAAAACTACTGTTAGTTTCTAACGTTTTAAGTTTATCGCATTAAGAACACAAGTTCAAAGGACATGTTAGTTTCAAAGTTTTTAGTTTATTCTTATGTTATTAGTAGTAGACATAAACTGCACAGAAATCTATAATTTTCATGTGCTTTGTTTATTGAGTTTGAAATGTTTATGCCAATAAAACTATTTCAAGATATTTGAACATTCTTATTTGATGTAGTAAATGATATTCAGACTAAAATGAGAAGAAAAGTTGCTACAAATAACTATTACAAAAATCATCTCCGTAAGTTTACTAATGAATTATGGTCCTCTAAATCTTCAATACTCCCCGATTTTTTGATGTGAAGAGCTGCATTTGGAATATGACTGGTTTGGTTTGTTTTGAATTTCGCGCAAAGCTACACGAGGGCTATCTACAGTGTAAGACCAGAGGGAAGACTGCTAGTTATCACCACCCACCGTCAACTTTTGGCCTAGTATTTTGCCAACGAATAGCAGGAATGACCGTCACGTTATAACGTCCCCATGGCTGAAAGGGCGAGCATCTTTGGTGGGACGGGGATTCGAACTCGAGACCTTCAGAGTCAAGCGCCCTAACCACCTGGCCAATGTAATGACTGAGGATAGAAATATGTTTATTTATACTCTTAGCCATATTCCAAAGATATTAACAAATAAAACTTTAAAAAATATATGAGTGACATATAATATATTGCCAAAGGTTTTTAATCTCCGATAGTGTTTTTGATATTTTCCAAGTTCGGATTTGTCGTGTGGTGACAACATTTGAGCAAATTTTTGAAATTAATTAACACTAACATTAGATCCGAAGTTAAGTGGAAATTAGAAGTTAATATTTCATGATGATATCTCTGATAGTCAAGAAATCCGCTTTTTCTCAAAAAAAGATGCTTGTTGGTTAAGAAGATATAACCGTACGTTTTAATGAGTTGGAAAAACGACAGTTGTCTGTGTTAGTTCATGGAATCAGAAATTTAGATAAACAAAGGTAACAATAGAATAGAAGAAAATAATTTAAGTCTATAATATATGCTAATAATCTTCACTTGTATTATTACGATGGAAAAATGTTTAATACATTTTTTTTCTTGAGATGTTTGTGAGGCTATTCTATGAACCTTTTTATAACCACCACCAGTGGTTTGACGGTTTATAACGCAAAAACAACAACTACAACAACAAAAAACCAAAACAGGTTTTAATATCAGTGGTGGGCACAGCTCAGGTTGCCCATTATGTACTTTTCTGCTTAATTACAAACATATTTATATAACAATTTTATTTAAACAAGCTATTCCAGATTCTAATATCAGCCGCTAGAGAACTAAAATGGCGGGGAAGCACATACTTTTAACTGGCATCCCGGGTATGTGTTTTATTTTGTCTGGTTAGGAATAACCGTTGCATGTCAATTTAAATTTATATCGTAGTATAATTTATATATTTATTTTCAAATCGTCTAAATTTGCATAAATAAATAAGTTGGAAATTATGATTTTATCGACACTGAATGAAACTGAAACTAACGTCGTTCGTAGTACTACTGAGTACTAGTACTACTAATAGTAATATTGAGTCACGTTCCTACTCCCAGTTTGTCATTGAAGAAGAAAGGTCCACCACGAAAGCGCTAGGGTTTTAGGGTTTTTATCATTTTATTACTGAGTATTTTACTAGCAGTTTTAGTTTTACTGACTGATACTGATACGTTGTAATAATACAAATTACTACTGAGTGAAGTTTAACTTTAAGTTGTACTTATTTTATGAGAAAGATTACACGTTCGCTAATAGTAATATTGACACTACATCAACTACATCTGAAGGCAACCTTTCCAAAAGCTAACCACTCTGTTAAAAAAAAAGTAAAACTGTTTTAATTGAAGATGACTCCTACCTTGCTAAAATTTATATGTCCCCTAATCCTACCATTCTCACCATTAAGTATGAAAGATGATGACACACCAGACCCATTAATTTCCTTAACTGTCATAAAAAAAACCTCAATCACAATTTCAGAGATCTTAATCTGTAATTGTGTGACAACTTTTCCATCCCACATATTATTGTAGTAGCTATCGTATGAGCTCTTTCCAACAATTTAAAGTCCTTTCTAAGGTAAGGAACCCAAGACTAAACACAGTATTCCAAATGTGGCTTAACTGGTGACCTCTGGCACCTGTTCACTAGTCAATGACTTGCAAAAAATAGTAGCAAGTGGCTCACATATCCAATCCTTAAACTTTTTTAAACCCTTGGGTAGATATCAGGTAAAGGGTATGTACCATTCTTTAAAATTATAATTTTTTTCTTAACAAGCTCAGAATTAACCTGATTATCTTGTTTGATCTTTCCATCTAGCAGTTGTTCAGGATGACAAATATTTGCATTTGAAAAATTTGGAGGAATAAAATTAGATAACCTAATCATCTCATAATGGTTATCCTTCAAAGATTCTACTCCAATCAAACCCATAATGTATATATATATATAGAACTTGTTACTGTTATTTCTTATATTTTCATATAAACTTTGTATTTCTTGTTTGATATAACCTCTTGATCATCTATAATCCTTTAAGTCTCCTATCATAGCAGTCAATTTAAACTTTTTAAATTTATAATGCTTTACTTTAATCTTGTTTTATATATTGTTTGTGAGCCTACCTCAATTTTTACTTGCAACCATCCTTTTTTTGTCTGTAAGGAAAGTGTCTATTTTGAATATTTAAGAATTTACTTCAAAATATTTTTCACATATGATTAGCCTCTCCAATTAATTCAGTTTCCCAATTCACAACTGATAATTATTGTTCTTAGTTCCTTCAAAATTAGCTTTTTTGAAATTTTAAACCAAAATCTCTATTTTTCATCTCCATATGCAGTAAAACATCAAACCTAATTGAGAAATGATAATTTGCACCAAGATGTTCCCCAGTCTCCATCCTGTCAACCATTTCTATATTAGAAAGTTACAATAAATGTAAAATAGCATTGTTCCCAGTATGTTCCTTAACCAGGGGTAAAGAAAATGCATCCTGAATGTTCCCTCATGACTTGACTTTAACATTTCTCAATCTGTATGCCTGAAATTAAATCCCCCCATAATAATGACCTCATTAATAGCTAAAATCTGGTGGTATGTATAAATTTCAACTAAAAATCTTCTCCCGTTTTATTTGCTAACAAAAAGCTAGATAGATTCAATCTTTCTATAATCTTTGATATTCTCAAATTCAATAGGATTTGATTCACATTTTACATATAAAGCCAACTCCTCCCATTTTTTAATACTCTATCCCTATCAAATTACCTATAACCCTGTATTTCAAAGAAATTTCTGTCATCAAAATTGTCTAAATTTAACCAAGTTTCAGTTATTCCTATTATAGCAAAATTCTCTGTTCTAACTACTGCTCTAATGTAATTTAATTTTATATACTTCTTGCATTACAATGGTTCCAGTTGAGCATTCCCTTAAAACTACTTTAGTACTACACTTTTCTATACATCTTTATTTTTCTACATTTAGTTTATCCTGGCCCTCACAACTGCCTAACCTCAGTCTAAAGCTGCCTTACAGTTGAGTTAATAGCTCTTGCAAACAAGCCAACCCTTATACTTTTGAAATGTGGATCATCCATCCCCAAAAGCTCTCTTTTATTATTTAACTGATCCCACAATGAACTAGTCAATCTGCTCATTCTTACATGTTAATCCTATGCATTTAGGCAGGTCAAAGTGTACATGACATAACCTTTTTTTGCAGAGTTACATTCAAAATTTAATTAAACAGCTTTATTAGCAATCTTTGTCAATGATATTTGCATTAAAATATAGTTTATAATTCAAATACTTATATTATCTAAGGTTTAATTTCAAAAAGAAACATTTAAATAAATTTTCAATCTTCACTCATCTGTCATGTGACAATCTGTTCTTTAAGCTCACAAGCATTTTGCATATCAGTCTTTGATTTTCATCTATACTTTCATTAGCTACCAGTAATGAGATTACAATTCAGATAGGACAACTATTAGCTATCGACAAAACATCTGATCACCCTATTTACAATAATTTACATTTGGGTATGTTCAGTAATTATTACAATAAAAATCTCACACTCAGTGTCAGTCATTTTGTTTCACTGTGAAAATAATGTTACTTTTTTAACTATAATGGGTATTAGCTGGCATAATGCATATCCAAACTCAAGAGTAAGCTGAATTCACCAATAGAGGAAAAGGTATGTAAGTATGAACATAGTAATAGTTAACAAAAGTGTGGTTGAAGATAGAGAAAGTGGAGGTGACAAAGATGACTCCTCATCATTAGCATCAACACCTGTTCTCTAAATAATTTTTAATGTGCTTATAAATCATTGTTTGCCAATTTATTATTGTAGTAGCCTAATTTAGGAAATGCTAAACTCATTTTAGAATTTCTAAACTAGAATATCTTTAGTCATCTATATAATTAACGGTATAATGTAACATAACATTTGATGGATAACAAGGGGCCTTTTGGCTCATCATGGCTATCTCAATATTCATCGAGTCCTCTCTTGAACTCTCCCAATCTTATTGTATCTTCCAAGTTGTGATAAATAAGTTACTATCACTATTGCAATTTTTATTTACTGTACCAATTTTAAAATGACCATACCATCTATTATTAGGTTGGAAATTGAACAGACACATTTCCCTGTGAGCTCAGCCAGTAGTGAAAGCTGGAAACATTTATGAGGCAAAGAGAAACCAGATTGCTTCCACAAAATGTGGAGCAGGAACATGTTTCACATCACAATATCAAACTTTTTAATTGTTAAGTAGCAAACAAGAATATATGAGTGGGAAATGCTACTGAGTATATGAGAAAAATTGTAATAAGAAAGTTTGTACATTGCAATGAGCCTTCAGTAAATTATAGGCTTCATGAGATATATATGTATTAGTACTGTTTTACATTAATAAAGTTAATAATTGATTTTCTGTATGCTAGTTTGTTATTTAGAACTTCCCGCTATATTTCTCCTGTTAAATATGAAAATTTCAACCATTTGGCAGTTGAATAAGTATTAATCAGGCAAAACCAGATATTTGGCAAAATGATTGAATTGCCCAAATACCCATTATAACAATAACTAAGAGTACATACCACTTCATTAGGTAAACCATTCCTTTAGCTTGTAACTCAATGCAGAAATCATCTTATCAAGAAACAAGTCTGGATTTGGGCTTCCAAAGTTTAAACTTTACTCCAAGTCACTTTTTATTTTCTCTTCTTCATTCTGGTGCAGATAGCCTAGTTGCTTTGTGCCATAAAATGCCAACCAACCTCCATTCTACTTTGTAAGCTGCTTAACCAATTCTATTTTAAACACCTGAGTCAGGTCACCTGTAGTTTTCAACTGTACAGAGAAAACAAATCCAAAACTTTTAAGCCTTTTTTTCGTAATTCCTATTTCTCATGATATCCAGGTAACATTCTAGAAGCCTGTACTCTATTTTACGTATATAAAATAGCCTAAACTATATACAGTATTCTAAAATTGAGTCCACGTCACAGTTTTATACAACATAAACATGGTGTTGGGAACCTACTAAAAGAAATTATTTAAAAAAATATCTTGAAACTAGAATTTAATAAAATAGCTTTCAATGTGGTTTTAGAAATTTGAATATCACAAATTCTTTTCACTCACTGGTTTAGATGAGAGCACTTCTGTTGATATTTTGCATTTGAATTTCCAAAAAAAGTCTATGAAGAAACATGCCAAATTTATTAGACGTGCTTACATATGATATTGGTGAAAAAAGGTAAATACATTGGCTTAATGGTATAAAGTAGATGGTGTTAATAGGCTTTATTCTGATTAGTAGAATGTTACAAGCGAAGTCTGAAGGGTTTATTTTCTTGGACCATTATAATTATTATTCAGTACTATGTCACTGATGGACCAAATTTTTAAATATAGTGAGAAGAGCTGTGAAACTTAGGTGAGATTGATAAAAAATGTGAGCTTAAATAAAAGTAATGGTTTTGTGCATATAACTAGTGAATTAGAATGTAGAATAATGTTTGTTGTAGGAAGGTTTTGAAACGCTAGAAAGGATGCAGAGAACTTCTAGAATATGATTTCAGTATGAGAGAAAATATTGAAAGAGTAGGCTTAGGTAATAAATGAGTAACTTTGATGAGTTGAATGGCTCGACTTGCTTTTACGTCCTTCAATCTCACATCTTTTATTTGGTTTCAATAACTGGCATTAAATAATACTAACAGTAATTTTTTAGAGAAAGTCCTATTGTTAGACTGATTATACTTTGAATACAATACATTATGGGTTTATTGAATGTGTAATTTTTTTAACATTTTATATATTTTTAATTTGTCTAAGGAATTGGTAAGACAACTATAGTACAGAGAGTTTGTGAAAATTTAAAGAAATCTGGCCTACTGCCACAAGGTTTTTACACTGAAGAAGTGCGGCAAGGAGGTAGGAGAATTGGTTTTGATGTGGTGTGTTTAAATGGAGAAAGAGGGCCATTAGCCAGAGTCAGGTAAGATAGAAATTATTCTCCTAATTAGATATACAGTTTCTTTGTGTATCTGTTATGGAAATGACATGTTCTCGTGCATATTTAGGTAGTAAGTTGCACGTACATTATCATGACAGACAAAACTGAGTATTATTATTATAATAGACTAGCAGAGATCCGCAAGACATTTGTGATCAGATTAGTGTCTTTATTGCAACAGTACTTCTTTAAATACAGGATTTTTAGAGTAATACAAAGTAATTCTAATCACAGATACTGAAATCTTGTCATACTATAATACTGCTGTCAGTATGCCTTATAAGCATGTGCAATAGGAATTTTACCCAGAAAAACAGTGAAAATATCTTCCTGCCTGAGGCAGAGAGCTGAACAATTTAAAATAAAGGAACAATAAAAAAAGATAGATGTAAATATTTATTATTAACCATTTAGTACAATAACATTAAAGCTTGGAGTTTTCAAAAAGGTCTGATGTTAGGTCCTAGAATAACATAATAAGTTTATTTATAGATAGTATCAAGTACAGTATAATTTAGTCTTAACTAAGCTAATGTAAAAAATGTACACGATACAGTGTTCATTTATCTTTTTATCAAACTAAGGCCTAACATTAGTTAAGGTTTTGTAAAGTACGACCTAAATACAAGTGGACTTGCATATTTCTGTGTCTGCAATTACATTTTTTTTGTATTATTTTACAAGTCTTGCATTTAAAGAAATACTTTTTGCATTAAAAATATTAATTTGACAGCTAATGTTTTGTTGGTTTCTTCTAGTAAATGATATTGTTAGTTGAAAACTCAAAACCAGTAACATCAAAACCAAAAATATTTAATTGAAATAAGGTAACAATGTCAGTTATAGGTAGGTAAACAATGACTTATAAGCATAAGTAAGAATTTGTTTTTGGGTTGAACATACTACATGTTTTGACAGAACATTGGTCTGTCTTCTTCAGGTATCATCAATACCAAGCAATACCAAGGTTTATATATTGTTACGATGGAGGAAGTCAGGAAATGCTGGGAGCATGCGCCTGGAATTTCTAGAAGGATCGTGACTTAGCGGGCTACGTCACGAATGTCCCGGCATTTGCCAGACGCCCTCTTTTTTAGTATATAAGCTGGAGATAGATTGAAGAGAGATAATCGAGAGAAGTGAGCACTAGTCACCGTAAGGAAATTGTGTGAATCGCTGTGAATTATAGCGTGTGTTTATCAAAAGTAGTTATGTCTAAAGTGACTGTGGAAATTAAGTGTATTACAAAGTTTGTAATGAGAAAGAATAAACTAGTTTTATTTAAGGAAGGACTTGTATTGCTGAAGTTTTTCTGAAAGAAGTTCTACGGGAAATTATCAAAGAAGCAGATACATAACAATATCATTACAAAGACAATATATAAATTTTATAATGTTTAGTACTGATTATACCTGAAAAAGACAGACCAATGTTCTGTTGAAACAAATTCTTACTTATGCTTATAAATTGTTGTTTGCCTACCTATTATTATATTAGCATAATGTACTTAATTTAAATACTTTACTTACTTAAGTAAAAGTGTCAGTTGTTTGCATTCTTGGGATCTGTTAAAACAAGAATAAGCAAAGAATCCAGTCTTGTAATATGGCAGTAGGAATTAAGCTAAACCATCAGTAGAAGAAGAATTAGAAGTGTATAATTTAACTCTTTTCTTACAGGGGTCAAAGTGTGCATGTTAAGATATTTTACAGTGTTACATTCAAAATTTAATTAAACAACTTTATTATCAATATATATTAATAGTTATGGGATTAAAACGAAGTTTATAATTCAAATTTTTGTATTATCCAAGATTTAATTCAAAAACACCACTCACCTCTCTGTACCACCAAGAGGTACTACGTAGAGCACACTGCTATGTAATTTCCTGGGCATACCACAAGCCTTGAACAAAGCTCCTGCCCCTACACATGTGAATATGTATTGTACCAGCCCATGATGTAACCATCATTAGACTATAACCCTCTACCAGTAGAAGGATGATACATCCTCCATGTGTAGTAATCTCCATGAACACTAGCATGGGAACATGGGCTCATTCTTTCTTATAGACTGCTGGTCTCCAGATCTGTTTTTTTTTTTTCTGGTGCTTATTATTTTAACCTTTCATTATTATTTGTTTTGTAATCTTTCTTTCCTTAATTTTCTTGATTATATGAAAGAACAATTCTAAATTTTAATATTATCAGTTAGATCTTTCATTCCAATTATCTTCTATTTGATTTTTTTAACCTAACCTCAGCGGGTCACGTGTCAAAGGCAATGTCATCGCATTTGTTAATAGACTTGCATTCAAATTTTATTGAACTACTATTTTATGAATCTATGTCAATAACTTTGGTATGAAATTGTAAATTGTAATTCAAATTTTAGTATTATAAATGAGTTAATTTCTTAATTTAAAAGTAAATATTAAAATACACAACTAAATATCAATTTTTATGTGTCACGTGGTATGTTGAATGCAGCAGTAGTTCAAATTAGATGTTTGTGATGTCAAAATACAAAATATACAGTTTTGTACAAATTAGGAACTCTAACTATCGATATTGACAAGCTAGAATATAAAATACGAATGTCTTATCTTTTCTATTTCCTACGAAGTTGCTCCTGTACTGAATCAAACACAGTTGCCCCTCCACCTACCTCTTTCCATTTTTGGAAATGGTCCAATCAAAAGCTTAGAATATCTCTTTAGTGGTTTTCTCAGCCATTTTGACATGTTATTGTGCTAATTTCATTCTTTTTACACAAGATTTCAAACAATCAGGTAAGTCTTTAGTGAGCTGAAATTTTATATTTTTTTAGAACTAAGTACAGCTTAGTTACTATGCTTGATAAATTATAGTGGAACTTTATGGTATTGATATAGTAATTTATGATTTTTTTGGTTAATTAAAATGTATATATAAAACCTAAAAAAAAAATTTTTTTTTTACATCTTCCACTTGGGAAATTACATAAGACTTAGCAACCTACGACAAGTGGCAAACAAGTACAAAGTTTGTAACTAAAAGAGATAATTGTTTGATTTACTTTATTTACTGTTCTATGTTTTAAGAAAAATAAGTTTAAGAGCTTATTTGTAAATAGAAATAATGTATAAACATATATAATGTACAATAGTTGAAATGTAACTATTTCACAAAACACTAGTTCACTAAAACACAGCCAAGACTGGTCACTTTGTAAAGACTAAAGGTCAGTTATATATATTATTGGATATGGTAACACGAGTGCACATGTGCCTCATCATCGTAACTTCTGTATTGTTAGCCAGGCACGGTTGGAAGGTCAATATAATAGCAATGATAAATATATATATATAAATGTATAACTTTATGAAATTTAAGCTAGTTAGACTAAACTTTTGTGTTTTTATGTTATAATTTGTAGTCATTCTGGAACAAAAAAAGCATAATTAAAATTTTTCCTAATTTCTTTTATTGAGGTTACATATTGAACCAACCCATACAGAAATACACTAGTGAAAATAACAAATGAAATATATTTTTTTAAACAAAAAATTTGATAATTATATGGGGATTTTAAAGAATTTGCATGTGAAATATGAAAATGTTCTTCTGCATTAAAGTATTTTTAATTTTAAAATAAAAATTACTTTGCATTTCGAACAGTCAACATTCTGAAAGAAAAAGGTTTACAAGAAAATCTTTAATTAAAAAAATCTTAATATTTAATTTAATAACCTGATATTTTATTACAAAACCTTGTAATGTTTACCAATAACCTGTAAAATTTTGTAAAGATGTGCTTACATTATGAAAAATCATAGTGTAATTACTCTCATGGATACTTTCGTGGTTACAAGCTAGGTGGATTCCATCCAGCCCTAATGGAAGGGTTAAATTGATTTTGTACTTTTGAGACTCATTCTGTTGTTTAATCCAACACACAGGTTTCTTCAAGTACTCTTTCAGTTCATTATTAGGTCTCTGTGTCATTACAATACCTGGCTCATTTTCTTTCTAACTTAAACAAAAATAGACCACCACAACATTGGTTTTGTGGATTAACTTGATTATACTTTCATATTCTCAATTTCTGACATCTCTCAAGTTATTTAATACTCCTTCACAGATGTCATCAAATAATTTCATGGCAGTTAAATACACTTGTAGTCAGTGATATAACTACCATTGTATAGCACATGGAAGGCTCCATTCTGATCTCATATCCTGGATTCCCAACCTCCTACTTCTGTTACTTCAGTTGTGCATGCCCCATCTTTAGTTTTACTACCAATGTTTTTATGACTGCATTATTTTCTTATTCCTCCTTTCTAGCATGGATCAGGTAGTCCTACTTCATTGCTTGGATTATACAGATATGTCTTTTGTTTTCTCTCTTTTTCCACTAATTTTATTGTTAAATTTCAGGCTCCCTTGTTGCTTGAGCCTCATTCACCTGAATTTTTTTTATTTTAGTTTTGGAATCTCTTTTTCCTTATTTTTTCTTTTTCCCATTATTTATCTTCATCTCTAACTTAAGAATTGTGTTCATTCTCATGCTTCACATTCATTTAAAAGCTTTCAGTCACAATGTTATTAGCTTTACTGGAGCAACATTTCTTCAGTGTTGTCTCAGTTACTAGGTTTGTTTGCTTCTGGGGTGTACATTGTCAAATTGCTTTTTCTTCTTACTTTCACTTCCCTCAATCTCCTATCCAGGATCTGTGTCTTGCATTATTTCTTTGTGCTGTGATTTTGAGGGTATGTCTTTACATTGATATCATGAGCTGATGCAGCTTTGGCAGTCATCTCTTCTCACTTTGGTTTCTTCCTCTTGAGACCATGGGGCTTCCACCAGGTTTCTCATCATATATGGTCTCATAGGGTTACCCTGTTTTCTGTTTCTTGGCCTTTTGTTACTATCTATGGCCCTCCCTCCTTGTAAGCTGGTCATCATGGGTTTTGGAGGAGATTTATTTCTGGAGCCATTGCTTAGCTTTGATCCTGTGGGAATTCTGCTATTCCTTATTGCCCACTGATGTACTCCCTCTGCTACAACATATTGAGTTCTTCAGGTGCTTTTTCAGGGTTTTTCCTATACCTCTGCTCTTCATCTTGTGGTAAATGCTATGGGACAGTTTTTTAACCCCACTCTTGGGTTTTATTCCCATATTTTGTTTTTCCATGAAGATGGGACATTATCAACCAAATACCACTTTGTCTCACTTAACTTCTTCTTTCATTGGTTCGTGATAAGCAGTTTCTCACTACCCAGTGGATACTCTTCTTAGTGATGGATGACCAATCCATGGGACTCTGTATTTTCTACACATCCCAGTTTGTCTGCTGGCACCAGGTGTGTGTGTGCCCTCACATTTGACTTGTGCCTGCTGTCTTTAGATGTGGTAACCCATTGCACAGTATCTTAGTGTGGGACCTAATTCCAAATGATTATGCATGATAGAAATGGTCCATGTACATCTCCCTTGTTCTCCTTGCAAGTTCCTTTCCTTTTTACATTTCTTCTAGTGGAGTACTGGAGAATCCTTCCTTTCACAGTCCCAAGCCTCTGATACAGAGAGTTTCTCATTTGAAAATACAATCCCACTGGTAAGAGACCAAGTGGATGCATCCCTCATTTTATAAGTAGGGTTGGGGTGTTACCTGGTAGTTTAGTTGTACAAGACACCCTACTATGTTAGTTATGAAACAAGCCATTCCCAGCAGTTAGGTCCAGCCAAATGGATCTTGGATTTGTTTTGAGTCACGGGGTGTGGGATAGTACTACACTACCCATCCTTCCCAAATGAGGGGTGTATCCACTTGGTCTCATACCACTGGGATTGCACTGTTCAAGGAGGAATTGTTCATGTCAACTTCCCCAGAGGTTTGAGACTGGAGAAGCAAGGGTTGTTTTGTACTTGACTAGTAGAAATATTTACAACAATTCTCAAATGTTACTTCTCTGTGTCACCTGACACATCTTGACTCTGAATTCTCCCCATTTAGAGTTTTATCTTCAATAATATAGCTTTCAGAGTGTACAACTAATTAGAAACACAAACTACACAAAATTACAAGCAAGAATATAAAATTTGTCCTACTTACTAAAGAAGCCCTTCCCATCTTTTCATGCATTTCAAGACAATTTTTACATCATGTCTACTTGTCTGATGGACATTTTTACAACTAATTTAAAGAGCATATTCTTATATACAGGAATCTTAAGATTGTTTATTTATATTTGGCAGTTAAAAACAGTAGTTGACTAGAAAAATGTGATTTGTTTTGAGTAAAATTGTTACTTCTAGCAGTAACAGAATTTTTTAACCTATTTATAGCTTAGTTAGAAAGCCAGATAAATTATAGTAGTTTTGGGACATTCTGTTCTAATGCTTGATATATATATATATATATATATATATATATCATGTTCTAAAGTACATATTGGAAAACTATATTAATTAGACAACCAATAGTGAGGAAAAAGTAGGGTTACTAAAGCACAACATTTGAGCATAAGTGGCCTGAATGCTAAAGTAAGTGTGAAATTTCTTGTTTTTAATCTATATTTCTATTTATTGTTATACATTTTTTTAACAAGATAACTGAAATATCAAAATTAGAAACTTCTTAGGTTAAGTAACAAACTTTAAATGAAATTTAAAGTTTCACAAGATCACTGGATGCAAAAACTAATGTGAGCTAATGGTACACACATGACTGTAACCTGATTGTTTGTTTACCCCCAAGCTTTGCCACTGTGATTTATTGTTTTTCAAGCAGAATGGTGGTCCAAAAGTACAGTAATAAAACCAAAAAGTTAAAAGAAGGCATAAGTAAAAGTGCTAGAAGCTAAGGTTGCTGAGATAAATAATTGTAATTGCCTGTTACAATGTGAAATCATTCTATAAAAAATAAAGGACCATTGATTTTATTTCATATTCTTGAACACATTATTTCACTGTACACTGATGATTTTGCTACAGATAGTGTTATGGTAGAGAAAATAAGAGATGAAGTATAAAGTTTCACAAAAAAAAAGTTTTCATATTCATTTAGGAGATTCTGGAAGTTATGAAGATGAAATATTAAAACCATAAGATGGAAAGACGTATTTTTATCCTTAGCATAAATATTACTTTTAATTTAGACTGAATGAGTAAAGGATTTGTAAATTCACAGACAAATCTTTAGTAGACATACGTTATTAAAAACTCGTTTTTTTTGTATACATTAATTTGTAATGTATAGTAAAAGATTGCATAATTTCATAAAGATATACTCAATAAATTCAGAGTTATAGTACGCATACTTTCACACATACAAGGTAGATCAAATTGACTAACTTCATAAAGAAAGAGTTAGTATTTACATAGAGACTAAAAATCAATCTTACTGTATTTTATATTTGCCAGTTGTGTGTTGTATACTTGTATCTTATTGGTTATAGGTGGTCTTCTTCCAATAAAGAGTTTGCAGTCAAGTTTCCTAGTTATTTTTGGTAACCGGTGAGCATGGCATACAATCTAAGACACCATGACATTAAGATTATATTTAAAGTATGTTTTAATATGTTTTATGTGACTCTCTTTTAGTGATTTTGTCTGTGATTCAGTAGTAAAAGGCCCGAAAGTTGGACAATATGTTGTAGAACTGTCATCCTTTGAGAAATTGGCCCTTCCAGCTCTACAATCTAGAGTAAGTAAAGAAACCTCTGTAAAAGAAATGTTAACATAAAAATATATAGATAACAAACATCCCAGTTTCAAATTCACCATTCACTAATGCTAAATTATGCTCGAGCACACACACACGCTTGCTTTTCCATGTGGTATATATTTTATGATGAGCTGTTTAATCAGTAAAATTAATTGTTATAATAGTATTGTGAAGTTGAATTCTGTTTTTTAAAATTTACAGTGTAGTTTCAAATAATTAAAAAGCACTATATTTTTATTTAGTTGTTTAAAATTTGAAATGAATAATATGTGGGAACTAGAAGTTTAAGTCCCACATATTATTGTTATAGCAGATAATGCCTGTGATAATAGCACCAAAATGTGTTGGGGATATACCATCTATCAGACAAAATCCAAATGCTGATGTAAATCTAGTCAGTTGTTATAGAAAGTCAAATAGGTGTACAAAGCTGAGTGTTTACACCCACAATGTCTCAGCTTCTACTGTTTTTCCCTGTCTATAGCCAGTTGTGGGAAGGCAGTTACTCTTAAATTTCTGAGATAAGGGTAGCCTCCATTTCCAAGTACAAACAGTAGTAAAGTTAGGTTAGGCACACCTGGCTCCTGAGTTTTTGGGCTGGCTCCTAGATCTGGAAATATTTCTCAAGGCCTGTTCTAAAGGGTGATACTTTTCCATAATACACTTATTGATGTGTTAACAGGTAATGGGCTATTATTTGCACTTCTGACATGAGGTGTGTAAATTTATTATCAAACATAAATTTTTTGTTCCTTTAACATATATTTGCTTATGACAAATAGAAGCTAATGCATAAATAATATTATGTGCATTACAACTAAATCTGGAGCTTATAAAAACAGTTTCTCTCCAGTAGGGCCTGTAATATATTTAGTGTATGTAATATAACCTTTCCCAGAAATATAAAAATTTGGTTTATTGCAGAGAAAAATGCATACACACACACACATATATATATGCAGGCTAGAGCTGGGCAGATTAATAATTTAAAAACATACACACATACATGTACAGGCTAGAGCTGGGCAGATTGACAATTTGAATACGTACACACACACACACACATACAGGCTAGAGCTGAGCAGATTAATAAATCAAATACAGGCTAGAGCTGGGCAGATTAATAAATCAAATACACACACATACAGGCTAGAGCTGGGCAGATTAATAAATCAAATACACACACATATAGGCTAGAGCTGAGCAGATTAATAAATCAAATACACACACATACAGGCTAGAGCTGGGCAGATTAATAAATCAAATACACACACATACAGGCTAGAGCTGGGCAGATTAATAAATCAAATACACACACATACAATCTAGAGCTGGGCAGATTAATAAATCAAATACACACACACATACAGGCTAGAGCTGAGCAGGTTAATCTAAATACACATATACAGGCTAGAGCTGGGCAGATTAATAATTTAAATATACACACACATACATATACAGGCTAGATCTGAGCAGATTAATAATTTAACTGAAGGTAGAGTTTCTGATTAGTACTGTTTTTGAATTATTGCAGTAATTGATTAATGTCATGAAAATACAAGGAATCAAAAGAAAGGCAACTGGCTGGCAGTACTCACCATCACTCTGGCTACTTAAGTGTTTAAAGGCTATCTTACTCATTGTAAAGTTGAAAAGTTTTTTTTGGTGTACAAAACTTGAAGATAGCTTTTATATGCAGAAACATCTGTTAGCTGAATTCTTGCACAGATCTTAAAATATAACGGCACATGTAGAC